TTAATATCATGAATAAATAAAAAATAAATAAAAAAAGTATTTAACTTGTTAAGTTTAGAAAAATATGTTTCCTACAAAAGCTGTTGTAAACTGAGTGTGCTTTAATTTAATTTAAAAATTTGATGTTAGTTACCTATAATGTATATAGGTGTGAATGTGTTTTATATATTTCAATTTCATTTAGCTTCTCTTTATTTTATTTTATTTTTTTCACCTATGTATGTTAATTATTTTATTTTTCTTTCCACAACTCTTTTTCTTTTATCTCTTTTTATTTACCTATAAAAACAGAGAATTAATTGACAACAACAAATTATACACTTTTTTTTGCAAATTTTCAATATTTAATCCAGTTTGAAAGCTCCATAGTTCGCTTCCTGTTGGGTTTAGAAAAAAATTGTATGTACAAAAATGATAGATAATTGTAAGCTGTTTAGGATTAATTACGATCATGTTTTATTTATCTCGCTTTAAAAAGTAGATATTTAGAGTAAATCGAAAAAGGTTCGAGATTTCAATGGATTGCAGGGAACCCGCAAGGCTTTCTAGGGCGGAATCTTGGATTTTTTATATTCACTGCACACCTAACAACTTATTTTTAGGTGACTGGGCTAGTTAGGCGGTTAGTAAAAGTGATGTGATGCCCGCACGAGATTTTTTATATTTAGAGCTGGTTTGCCGCTATTTTTTGTTCAGACCTAACGGTATGTGCTGGGCCCAATTAGCTACTTCTAGTGAATCCTAAGAAAGCTTAAACATCGGTTTTTACATATATGCATAGTTGTTAAGACATTTCAAACCTAAAGATATTTAGTTTATTTAAGTAAAACATTCTATAAACAAAATATTTTTTAACATTGCTCTTATCAATTGCTGTTTATATCAAGTATTTCATGTTAAATAATAAGTGTTGCGTGCAAAATAATTATTTCAAACAATGTAAGTATTTGAAGTATAAGTATTTCACATAAAATACATATTGTGAAAATAGGCGATGTAGATACCAATATTTAAAATCCACGTCTTGTGGTTTGCATTGTAAACATTACATTGTTTAGATATTGTTTAATTTATTACCTATTTCATAACGACCTATTATAATAAAATACATATTTATGAAGTCACATGTATGTAATAATAAAATATATATATGTTGTAAATTAGCTTTAAACCGTTATTGTAAATCGCTATATATTTGTAATTTGGTCAGTATAGACAATTAGACATTATTTAGTCAAAACCTGGGTTGATAGTAACTCAAACAAGCGAGTAAAAAATTTTTTTTTTTTTTTAATTTCTTTATTGAGTATTATAACAATCTGTCTCTTGGACATTGGTTATAGTGAGGTAGGATGACAGTCACACTATATGTACAAAAAAAATAAAATAATAGAACAAAATAATAATCAAAAGAAAAAAAAAATTAAATAAATAGAAAGTAATGGTTGTCACTCTAAATCAAGGTTTCCGCGTGTTAAATCTTCAATAACTTTTAACACATTCAGGCCTTCATCAGGGCTAAGAATAGGACCAGACAACAATAGGTATAAGAACCTATAAACATTGAAAAATAAAGAATTAAAATTTAAAAAAGTGAAAGGTATAGACTAAAAAATGTAGGTAGAAAAACTTTATATTTTTTAAATTTTTGTTTTTATGATATTTACAACTGCATTAGAAATAAAATAAATAAATCAGTAAATGTGGACACAAGAATATAATAACATGAAACAACTTGTTGAGAAACTACCCACTGGTAGCACTCTAAAAATGTATTTACCACAGGAGATCTCAAGGTCATCTTTTCAGACGGCTCGGAGGGTTATCAGGTATCGAGGAGGAAGCAAGATTAGAAACGAGAGAGTTAGGATGGTTCTGAAGTTTGTTATGGAAGGATAGGTATCTGGATTGGGCCAGGTCAGAAACATAAGGAACATTAATGTCTTTATGGATGATTTTATTTGTGACAAAGTATCATTGAGGATTTTACGAAGGATTTCGGATTGTAAAGATTGGACACAAGAGGAATTCGATGGCTTAGTTGTGCCCCAACGCTCAACTACGTAAGCCAAATAGGTCTTATTGTAGTCATGTATATGAGTGTTTTGTAATTAACTGGAAGCTTAGAGCGTTTGTCTAGTAAGTGCTGGAGTCGTCGTAAACGTCTAGCGGTTTCTTGTCGTTTTAGTCTATTTTGAGGATTATGATTTAGACGTTTATCCAAGTGGAGTACAAGGTATCGGATTTGTTCAACAGGGATAAGTGGGGTATTATTAAAGGATACTAGAGGACAGAAGGTCATAGGTTTACGGCGAAGGGTAAAGGTGATTTGATGGGATTTATTTTAATCCTTCAGTTTTTAATCCATTCTTCAAGGTTTTTGATGTGTGATTAATGAGTTTGGGATGCAATAGTTGGGTGATTATTAACGGACAGGACATATGTAACATCGGCATACGTGATAATGACAGTATTATGATGGGTTGGGATGTCAGCTGTATAAACTGTGTAAAGGAGAGGACCTAGGATACTACCTTGACGAACAACAGCGGACTGGGAAAAGAGGGATGAATAAGCATTATTGTGATTCACTTTGAAGTATCTATCAGTTAGGTAGGAACGGATAATGAGGAAGTATGTAGGATGTAAGAATTTACGGACTTTGTAAAGCAGTCCCGGGTGCGAGACTCGATCAAAAGCCTGTTCTACGTCGAGAAAGACTCCCGTGCAGTACATTCCGCGCTCCAATGCAGAGGAGACAACATCTACTACACGATGGCATTGCTGAATAGTGGAATGGGATCTGCGGAATTTAAATTGATGATCTGGGATTATGTGATTAGAATATAGGATTGGGTACAGGCGTTTTAAGATTAGTTTTTCCAGGATTTTTCCCATGATGGGTAACAGCGAGATGGGACGGTAAGAGGATGGATATTCTGGTGGCTTGTTGGGTCAGGAAAATATGTGGATATCAGTACAGCATTATATATATAAGTAAGGAATATGATGGCTTTCCTACGAAGCGGTTTCAGGATCTGGGATGTATTAGGTCGTGTGCAGGAGCTTTGCGGGAAGGTAACCTTCGAATGATATTGATATTTATGAAGGATGAAAGACTTACGGTGGAATAGACATTTAGAGCGGAATATCCAGTTCTGCTTCAATACTTGCAAGGTGATTTGGGTTAGGAATATCGGGATGTGGATTAAAAGTTTTAAAGAGGTGGTGAGCAAATATTTGGGATTTTTCCTCGTCGGATTTGGATCAGATTTGAGCATCGGTAAGAAGTTGATGATTGCAGTCTTTAAATTTCAGGAGCCTTTTAGTGATCGTCCATAGTCTTGTCGTTAGTTGTAGGTTTGTCGGTAGGTGTAAGTTTTTATGAAATTTTGTATTTCCTAATTTCTTATTTTAGTTTGTTAGTCAGTTATGTGCAACTAGTTTTATCTGTTGGATATCTAGTTATATGCCACTTCGATCTTGCTCTGCGATTTCCTTTAATAAAATAAAATTAAGTAATTAAAATTAATTAGTCTTTTGTAAATTTTTAATCTTACTGATAAAGGTGTTATTATTTATAATGTCTGTTATTGATGTTCTAAGTTTTTCTATGGCACCATTAATGCCTTATTTTGTCTTTAACAGAATATTTTAGTTTAGTACGTTGTCCAAATCATCACGAAATTTATCTATGTTTACTCGTCCTGTAATCTGGTCTAAAGAAAGGTCATCAAGGGATTTGATTTGGGATATGGTTTGGGAGGAGGAAATCTGGGAGTTGATAAATATATCCAGGATATCGGAACGTTTTTTGGGTGATGTTGGCCAATGAGTAGGATTCATGGGTGAAAGGATTGAATAATTGTTGGATGAAGACACAGAATCAGATAAAAAAAGAACTGATTGCTGTTCCTCTTATAGCACATCAAGAGATAATTCCAGACTATCTGTACCTGCCACAATTGATTTTGACATCAGCCCATTAGTGGATATTATAATTGGCGTTGTTGTAACGCTTTCCAATTTATGTAGTTCCTTTAATTCGATAGCCAATTTCTGGTATTTTTTGAGTTTTTCTCCCACAGTGAAACTTATATTATTATCATTGGGGATCCCAAAATCAATCAGTTTTGCTTTTTCGCCTTTTGAATCTATAAGGAGGACGTAAGGTCTGTTATGTGGCACAGTATGGTCTGTGATAATTGATTCATCCCATCATAGTTAGACGAGACTTTTTTGAAGGAGTCTATTTAGATGGTACTTATAATATGGCACATTATCTTCTTGTAAGTGATACTACATCGCCAGGGCCTGATGAAAAAATTTTGCCACATTGTTATGTCTCTAGAGATAGTTAGTACCAGCTAACACTTCACATGCACCAGTGATATGTTGGATTGGTTGCAGCGTAATTGATCATAACCAACATTTATCTGGTACTGTTGCGTGTTATAGAATGTGCTTTATATGATCTGGTAGAAATAACATGATCTTCGATGACGATCAAAAACCCTTCTATCTCGGAGAATATCTTTCCAACTAATTACCATTTGACAGTTATTTCTTTGTCAATGGAGATGTCATTAAATTGGCTGTAGAATTTCCTATGCAATGATTTGGGTTTTCACTGTGTCAATCGTTCATTTTATAGTACAATTGTAGAGTCATCATGTTTGCTCAGATTAACTGAAGTTAGACCAGAATCCATGCTTAAACTGAAATTTAAACCTCTGTTCATTTCAAGAGAAAATGTCCTCGTAGGGCCACTTCCTGCTTGGGGCAAGCTTCTTCAATATTTAGCGAACCACGTCCTCCTTCTTTCCTAGTTAAGTATAAACGAGCTTTGGAGGATATTGGATAGTGTGCCTGTTCTTGTGTGAGAGTCGTTATTATTATTAATTATTATCATTATCCCATTAAAACTGTATTGATTAAATAGTTAATAAAATTTATTTTATTCATAATAAAAAATGAACAACTTACATTTTTTTTTCTAGTTGCTGATCATCAGAGACCTAGAGTTTGCTCATTACCAGAGAAAGGATATAATCCAAGGTATATTCATAAACAACTCTTTGAAAATGTATATCTTTCAGATGTATTATACACATCAATATTGAGAAAATACAATTATTAGAATTTTTATCCAGATAATGAATAATAGATACATTTTTATTCGTCATTCTTATTTTATAACCCTAGGACTGATGATTATTTGTTATTCGTTATTTACTGATAATCTGCATTATCTATTATCTATTATTCGTTATTTAAGATTAAAATTACGAAAGTATAAAAAACTTTGTTGGGACTTTACGGATTTTATCGACTTACTATTATGTTGTCTGGGGCACTTTTTATGTAAATACTGCCAGATTTAAGATTACACGATTGCGCATCGAATTTTCGATACTTTCCGGATTTCTTCGATCAAAGGATCTACTATGTTATCAGTGGTACTTTTTATGAAGATACTGTTGGATTTAATATTGCGCAATGGTGCACCGCATTTTGATACTTTTCGGATTTCTTCTATATAACGATCCACTTTATGTTTTCGGAGGCGCTTTTTACGAAAATACTGTCAGATTTAAGATTGCGCTATTGCTCATCGAGTTTTTTATACTTTTCAAATTTTTCAGATCTATAGGTCCACTAATATATTTCTGGGAGCACTTTTTATGAAAATACTTCCGGATTTTAGGTCGCGCTTCGAATATTTGTAATATTAAGGAGTTTTTCGATGTAAGATTTTGCTATTATGCTATCAACCACTTTTTACGAAAATACTGCAGAATTTAAGATTGCGCTCTTGCGACTCGAGTTTCTGACACTTTTCGAATTTCTTAGATATATGAGTCCGCTAATATGTTTTCGGAGGCTCTTTTTATATAAATAATGTCAGATTTAAGATTACGCAACGAATTTTCGTAGATTTTTTTCAATGTAATTGTCCTCTTTTATGTTGTCGGGACCGTATTTTATGAAAATACTATCGGATTAGGGATTACGGAATATTGCGTAGATTTTTTGGCAATTCTTGGATTTATTCGGTATGAGAATCCACTATTATGTTGTCGGTGGCATATGTTATGAACATACTTTCAGTTTTAAGATTGCGGTATCACGGATTGCGTTTTTGATACTTTTCAGATCTTTCGAAATATGAATCTACTGTTATGTTTTAGGAAATATAATAGTGGACTCTTTCATCGAAAAAAATCCTTAATGTTACAACAGAGAATCGCAGAGAAGTAATGGAGTATACAGCAATATCCAGGGAACCAAGACCTGCTCCAACATTTGTAAAAAATATAAGAAAATCTAGTTATTGTGTACAAGACTAAACAAAATCTTCTCTAGCAGTTATTCTTGCCTCAACACAATCAACGATACAAAAATAACACCAGGTACTGCTGAAACCTACCGAAAAATGGTGAACGAAAACCTATCAGAAACGAATGCGAATTTTCATACGTACCAGTTAAGGTAGGAGATATCGTTACGAATTGTGACAAGAAATTTGCACTCCTCAACCACAACTGTCGTGATAAAAGAACTAACGACGCTTGATTTCAATGTAAGTCAGGTAACCAACGTTTTGAAGGAGAACAAGGAGCAGCTAGGGGTAAAAAATAAAGTTCGACTAAGTTTAGTTTTCGAGGAACAAGAGCCATCACCTAGTCTCGAAAAATAAATAAAATGAAGACTACTAAGTATCTTAAGTAGTAAAAAAGTACTACACTATCGTGAAGATAGAGAAGCCATACCCCAAAAATGAAATCGTGCAGAGTCACAATTTGCCTGGCAATACGACCAAGCGAATACCTATTGTCACCACTTGCTGCGTTGCGTGAAATGTTGTGAACAACAAAAATCAGCAGAGTGCACCAAACTGATACAAGATCCTGCAGTTTGTGCCACATGCCCCTGGACCTGGACACCTGGCCAATTACAAAGGCTTCCAAACTTATTAGAATCCCAAATCCAGATACTAGAAGACCGGATTCAAGATGAAACAACCAAACTGATACAAGATCCTGCAGTTTGTGCCACATGCCCCTAGAGGGACACCTGGCCAATTACAAAGGCTTCCAAACTTATTAAAATTCCAAATCCAGATACTAGAAGACCGGATTCAAGATGAGACAACCAAACCAAGAAAAAAATCTTCGAGAGTATTGAATAATGATGTATAATTTTCCGAAATACTTGGAGGTAAGAACCCAACCAATGAATGTGAAGCCCTGCCGCAACAGAAACCTCAATATCCTGTCTATCATAACATATCTAACCATCAACAACCTCAAATTTCTCATATTCCTCCTCCCTCAAATGCCTCAGATCTCAGTTGTTGTCATCATTCCTCATGTTGCATCGGCATGTTGCGATCCTAACAAATCCAAAGTCCGGTTCAATTCTTTCCTCAACTCCTTAGGTCATCACATTATCCTGGTTACAGACTTAAATGCCAAGCATCAAGAATGGGGTTTAAGAACCACACATTCTCGTGGTAAAACATTGCTGTCTGCACTCAATTTCCAACGTTTCAGCCTCTTTATAGCTAACTCACCTACCTACTGGCCCACTTATCATAACAGCAATCCTGATATCCTTGATTTTTTCATCCACAGTGGTTTGGGAGTAAACGATTAAAGCAGGAATTGGCCACCTTCAGATCCCAATTATTCTACAGCCTCCATACCTCTCAAATCCTCAGACCACTTCCTCCTAAAGCTGTTATATTCCTCACTTGCTTATACAATACCATCGTAAGAACCACCCACTTTCCTCCTTCATAGAAACATTCCACTATTATCCTATTTCCAAAAAACAAGGCAAACCTCCTAACACCTCTACGTCCAACAGACAAATTAGCCTACTTCCAATCCTCTGAAAAATCTTTGAAAAGATACTTCTGAAACGAAATCCTACCCTTTATAGAATCCTAAAATCTTCCTTTCTATCAGTTCGGATTTCGTTCAAAACACTTCACAGTCCAACAACTACTCCGAGTGGTCGATCATATTTTTGCAGAACTGGAAAGCAAGCAATATTCATCGGGTACATTTCGTGACATAGCTCTCAAGCTTTAGACCTTTTCCCTAGTTTCTTGTCGATTTATGTCTAATTTTATGTTTCGAAGCTGAAACTCCATCTACCCCATTCCTTGTACCTAATCTTCCGCTCCTACCTCTCTGATCGCACCTTTAGAGTCCGCTGTGGTACAGAATTTTCCAATTCCCACCCAGTTGAAGCTGGTGTTTCTCAATTTAGCGTCTTGGACCCCGTCCATTATATTCTTTTTACCGTTGATATCTCTGTCCATCCCGATACCTTCCTGCCAACATTTTCTGATGACACCGACATCCTATCATCCAACTCAGATCCCGAAGTAGCATCCATAAATCTGCAAAGACACCTCTCCCAGATTGAGCAATGTTGTAAGAATTGGCGCATTAAAGTGAACGAATCCAAATGCATACACACTACCTTCACGCTCCCGCACAGATCCTGTCCACTAGTCCACTTTAATTCCATTCAGCTTCGTTTTTCATACACAGTCCGTTATCTCGGCTTTCTCTTAGATCGAAGACTTAATCCACATACAAGACTTAAAAGACAGGAACATAACAGATGATACAGACTACTGACTAGAAAATCTCAACTTCCAACTGACAACAAATTACTAATTTACAAGACAATCCTGAAAACTTTTTGGATCTACGTAACTTTAAGGGACAGCAAAATTTTCTAACATCAAACTCAGATCCAATCTTTTCAGTCCAAAGTCCTCCGAACAATAATCGATGCTCCGTTCTTTGTAACCAATAATACCCTACATCATGACCTTAATATCCCATTTGTCCTTGACCTTATCCCAGCAAAATTCTCCAAATTCCACCAGAACCTTACCCATCATCCAAATCCCTTTGCACAATCTCTATCCATGAAAAAGATTTCTTGGATTCCTTGTTTTCCCTCTATAGTTAGAGGGAAAACTTCTTTTTATTTTGAATCAATAACGGTTGGAGTTGATAGCAAGTAGCAGCTCCTCACTCGCCACCCTCAGTCGATTTAGGTAGAAGTAGCATCTTATAATCTACTTTCAAGGGTCTTCATTTGTACCAATGTGAGTAGCCATATCGGCCCTTTTTGAGCGAATCTACTCCTTGAATGAAATAATTTTCAGGATCTGATGAATCGATATATATATATTTTTGTCCGATAGGTTTATTTCAATATATCGTATTATCGTTATTAACATTTGTGTGTTGAAAACCTATATTCATATAAAATTAAATAAACAAACAAACATGGGAATACTTTTAAACACCATCCTGCATGAATACCTAGTGGTTTAATATTGATATTTTTTATATCTTACAAGAAGAGGTTACGGATTAGTGGTGCTCATCGATTTCAAAGAAACATTTGGTGATACTAGGTTAAAAATATTAGAGCCAAGTTCGAGAGTTCTTGCCAATATACCATAAGAGACTAGAAAAAAAATTAATTCTTTTTTAGGTGATTATTTTTTGCCTTTGCTCAGCATAGATTTCTAGATTATTTTAAATTATTGGATTATTTTTGCAAAATAAGAAAACATATTGCTGATTGCATTAAACGAGTCCAAATGTACAAAAACCGAAAAACGCTTCCAGTAGTGTAGGCCAAGTAATTATTATCATGAAAAATCCAGATTCGTTTCTATTATAACTCTTATATACGATTTTGTTTTAGAATAAAAAAAAATATAAAAATTAACGAACTGGATTTTTTTTTTCAATTTGTTTATTGAGAAATATTGCAATCTGTGTCAATCAAGGACACTTATAATTGAGTTCAGAGCGCATATTACGACCATAATTACAGAATCATGAATAAACAAAGTAATATAAATATAATATATTTACAACAATATAACCATTTCCAGCACTATTTAATTACAGCCACACACATTCATTACTTGAATAGAGAATCTAGCCACCGCCAGAACTCCAATATATACATGTTACAAAAGATCTGGGGGCCGCTGCTGCTTTAACCTAAGAGGAGGATTGCAGGGATAGATTGTGCTTGATAGGGACTGTGCTACGGAATTTGTATGATAAGATTTCTGGTGAAATTTGGAGAATTTTCTGGGATAAGGTCTAGAACAAATAGGGTGTTGGGGTTATGGTGTAGGGTTTTGTTGTTTACATAAAAAGAACCATCGACTATTCTTCTAAGGACTTTGGACTAACAGGATTGGATGCGTTTGATGTTAGAAAATTTTGCTGTTCTCTATTCAGTAAGTCCACGTAGGTTTCTGAAAATTCTTGTTCATCGGTAATATATTGTCAATTGAAAGATGAGATTTTCCATTCAGTAGTATATAGCTAGCCATAACCGGAGTGATGGTCTTAACAGGATAGAGCCAAGATACCTGACAAAATGGCCAGCTGCGTGGAATTAAAATAAACTGGTGGACAGGATTTACGACAGTTTGAAGGTAATGTGTTTGCATTAGGGTTCGTTTATCATAAAGCGCTATCATGCGCTTTGTCCAGAAATGCACTCGAGCAATACTACTTGTTTTCTAGGGCTGAGTATATATGGTCGAAAACTCCGACAGTGGAATGATGGGAAAGAAATCCAAATTAATGGGTAGAAATCTTTTGGAATTCTATTATTGATAGGATTGTTTTCAGTAGGATCTTTTCAAACATTATGGAAAGGATTGGGAGTAGCCTAATAAGTCAATAGGATGATGTATTGTTGGAAGGTTTGCCTGGTTTCAGGAAATAGTACGGGAGCTAATGTCGAAAAGATGGTCTGCAGTCGAATGATCTACCAATGGCGTTGATGAGCCCAGGTTTCTACGTTTTAAAGCCTAAATAAACAAACAAAAAAAGTTGGTCTGATTTGAAGAAAGTTTTTGACCATGGATTCCGAAAGTACTCTCACTATAGAGTGCAAATATGGGCGTCTGCCATCCTAAATGTTATTATTATATGGGGCGCGCTGTCCTGTTACCGAAACTGGGCCTCCTCGAAGAGCTTCCGCCAGTCTGCTCTGTTTTGCAACGTCTAGCAGGGTTGTTGCATCATAGGCCACGCTGTCCAGCCGTTCCGTCCTTGGCCTTCCAACCCGTCTTGCGAGGTGCAGCTCCCCAACATTAGCTAATGCGCTCATTCTGGCCACATGCCCTGCCAACCTTAGTCTGGCAAGTTTAATGTAGGTGACTAAGTGGATGTCTGTATGAAGAGAACTAAGTTCCCTATTTTTCATTTCCTCCAAAAATCACCATCCTTTACAGGGCTATAGATCCTTCTGAGGACTTCCCTCTCGAGCACACTCAGCTTCATCTCATCACTTTTATTCATCGTCCAAGCCTCTGAGCCATATGTCAAAACTGGCCGTACAAGATTCTTGTATATGATCAGCTTGGTCTTCTTTGAGATGTACCTACTTCTAAAGTGTCGCCCAAGTCCAAAGACACATCTAGACAGCCCTAATCCTTCTCTGTATTTCTTGAGAAATGCCATCCTTGGTATTTACTTCAGACCCTAGGTATATAAAGCTGTTTATTTTCCCAAACTTAAAAGATCCTATCTCAAATGGAGAGTTTAGATCACCACCAACTCTCATATACTTGGTTTTCTTCTCGTTGATTTCTAGACCAAGTCGTCTTGCAGCTGCTTCAAGGGCTGTAAATGCTTCTCTGAGAGCCCGTTTAGACCTTCCTATAATATCAACATCATCAGCAAAACCAAAAAGCTGTGTCAGGCGATTGATGATTATGTCGCTGGTCTGAATATCGATCTGTCTTACAGCTTTCTCCTCTGCCAAGTTGAATAATAGACAGGCGAGGGCAACCCCTTGTCGAACCTCACTGCTCCTTACTGAATCCTGGTGGTAAAGGTAGTGATGGAGTAAAAAGGGGCGTGGCACAGTAGTCACGTGATTCATAATTAAAAAGGGGGCGTTGCTAGGTGGTCAAGATAGGAATCAGGTCCTAATTAAAGACAGCTTGCCGTTGTTCAAATTCAAACTTCCGCCATGATGATGTCACTGGTCACGTGGTAGTTAAGACTGATTCTGATTGGCTGCGCAAATCGGTGTCCTAGCTCCCGCATGTCTTATCTATTTACCGGCATGTGCTTTTCCGTCAGGATGGTCAGTTTGATACGTTAAATACTGTGGTATTTTTTTGGTCGAGTTTCTGTGGTTACGATTACATCGATGTTCTTGTCTAAATATTCTATTTATTTGGCATATTAGTATTTTTTTTTTTGGCAGATAGCTATCGTATGGGAATAAATTTGACCTACTGATATGGCTATGTGGGAATAAATATTTTTATATTTTTTTAACTTTTTCATAGCAAAAATTTACATGGCCTACTTTACTGGAAGTCTCTTTTAATTTTTGTTATTTAGGATACTTAATAACTCATTTAATACTATAATGATTTTTTTTTTTCTACATTCTCCACACAAAAGTAATCTATTGGTAAATAATCACCTAAAAATCCTGTCAAATCAAAAGCAAAAATTAATTACATAAATTTTGTTCAAAATTATATAAAATATTTTTTTGGCTCCTAAGGCGCATTGGCAAATATTCGGAATTGGGTCAAATATTTGTCGACCTAGTATAACCAAAAAAGTTCCATTGCAATCGGTGACCCTACGTCCGTAATCTCCCATTGTTAGTGTGTCCGCATACCTGACAGTTGTGGCACTGGACGATTTCTCTTTTTGGACGTGGTTTTTGGATCTTTACGATTTTTTCAGCCTCTGGAGTTGGCTCTAGATCTAAGAAAAATAAGGGCAATGGAATTTTGGTTTTTACCCCTGGGTGTTTATATTATTTTCTTTCAAAACATTTATTTAGCGAACATTGAACTCTAAAGCCGTTAGCTCTTCATTGATAACTTTAGTTAGGGTTGAGGAGTTTAAATTCCCTATCACCACTCGAGTTGCTATATCTTCCCTCAGCTGGTACCTGTGAAAATCCGCACCTGTTTCAGTTAAATATTTAACTACTTTTCGATATGCTTCAGATGAATCCGGTGTTATTTTTGTGCCACTATTGCTGTTAAGACAAAGAAAGCTATTGTAGTAGATTTTATGTAGTTGGGTACACAACAACTCACAATTCTAATATTTATGACAAAGATCGGAGGAGGTCGTGGTTCTCTTGGTATCGGTGCAGATCTTATCTCTGACATTTTGAAGCACCTGGTACGGTTTCAAAAAAGGAAATTCAGAGGCCAATTCTTGCGATGATATGCTTGGTTAGGGTTGAGTTACAGGTTTTTGAATGGTAACTGGAATGGTCCCTGGGGGTCTTGATCGCTAACTGAAACGATTATTTTACTTGACAGATGAACCAAGAAGGGTAGAGCCAACTGATCGGGTCGTCTTAATGGACATAACATGATGAAAATATCGCATATATCATCAAAATAAAATAAATAAAACTTCCTCTATGTGTACTCCACCTTGGATGATTCGGCATTAATTAATTAATGCGTTATTAATTATAGTCATTTTTAATAATAAATGTTAATAATTGTATTAGTTTCCCTTTCCCTCATTTCCTTAAAACATTTTTTTTTTTTTAATATTACAATCTGTCTCAATAAAGGACATTTATAATAGAGTTCTGAGAACACATTCACACCATCCAACATTTTATTATTATTATGTTTTAATGTTTAAGTGATTTTTTCGTCTAGTTGGTAGTTGTACATTGATTTAATTTTTTACAAACGTTAATGGATTGATACTTTGATTGCGAATTGTTAACCATTATAGACCCGAACTAATCCGATTAAATATTTAGTTATATAAGCAATGTCAAAGGCAGAAATAAATAAAAAATGTAAAAATCTCACTTTTGTTATTATTATATTATATGGGTGATAAATATTCAGGATGCGTTCATTATAAAGTTTTTTATTGGTGCCGACGTTTCAAGCCAAACACGCCCTGATAATGACCCACACGTTTGGGTTGATAAGTCGCCACCAAGGAAAACTTTATAATGACTGGGTCCTGAGTATTTATCACCCATGATGTAGTACATATAGTAGGTGTAGAACAGTCGACAAACTTCTTTCAATATTATATTAAATATTTGACCCTGTTTAGACACAAATTAATAAAAATGTTTATATCTTTTAGGTACTCGGATGATCTGTATAGATTACGAAATTTCTCTATAACCGCTAAAGGTGTCGTCAATTATGGAGATTCTATCATTGACAGGAGGAGTCGTTCCAACACAAGCATCAACTCCACAGCAAGCAGGTCAGTTTTCTCACTCCCATCATCGCCTTTCATTTCATTTTATATCTGCATTAAGCAATTTAGAGATTTTTATATTAAAGTTTACTGTATTCACAAATGATTCATCTAGGTTAACCAGTGTTTTTATCCCTAAATTTAACTTTTAAAAAACTTATAAGGTAAAAGTGCAGCATAAAGTGAACCGAAATTTGTAATTTTAACTATGAAATTCATGAAGCATTCTAAAAAATAAATGACATGTAAAGCATTCTTTCATTATAAACATAGATGTATATCGGATTGTATGATATAACTTTAGTTTTAAACATATAATTCGTTAAAACTATATAACTATATGTTGTAGCGCAAAGCGACCTTTTCTACGTTTCTATTAGCCAAAATATAGGTTAAAGATGGGTTTATATATTTTCATAAATTATAAGCGTTTGAACGAAACAAACTCCAGTATACGAGGTTATCAAATGACGAGACTGATTTTGAAAAACATTTTATTTTGACTTGGTACATACCTATCATCAAATTCAAAATGCACCCCTTCTCTATCCCTAAAGCTTTTTATATTTTTTTATATTTGTTTATTTAGAAATATTACATTCTGTCACATCAAGGACATTTATAATAGTGTTCAGAGAAAGCACACTCACACTCTATTTACAATAAAAAAAAAAATAATAATACAGAAACTTAATAATAATAAATACAATAAAATAAAATAAAAATAAATACAATAAAATAAAATAAATGTATATAAACAAAAGAACTAACCTAATCATACACACTCGGGCTTGAGTGGAGGATCTGGCCATTGCCAAAACTCCAATAGATGCTTATTTACAAAAGGTCTCTGGGCCACTGCCGCCTCAACCTTCGTGGAGGATTGTAAGGATGGGTGGTGCTGGATAGAGATTGTGCAAGGGGATTTGGATGATAGGTAAGGTTCTGGTGAAATTTGGAGAATTTTTCTGGAATAAGGTCTAGGACAAATGGGATATTAAGGTCATGGTGTAGGATTTTGTTATTTACATAGAACGGAGCATCAACTATTGTTCGAAGGACTTTAGATTGAAAGGATTGAATACGTTTGATGTTAGAAGCTTTTGCTGTCCCCCACAGTTCAAGTTCGTATGTCCATATAGGTTTCAGTATTGTCTTGTAGATAAGTAATTTGTTTTCAATAGAAAGTTTGGATTTTCTGTTTAGTAGTCTGTATAGCTGGCCGTATCGTCGGTTGAGTTCTTGTCTTTTGAGTCTAGTATGTGGGTTCCACGTTAGTCTTCGGTCTAAATGAAAGCCAAGATACCGGACTGTGTCTGAGTAAGGAAGCTGGATGGAATTAAAGTGTACTGGTGGACAGGAACTGCGTCGGAGTGTAAAGGTAATGTGTTGGCATTTAGATTCATTAACTTTAATGCGCCAGTTATTACACCAGTGCTCAATCAAGGTGAGGTGGTTTTGGAGATTTAAGGATGCTATTTCGGGATCAGAGTTGGATGATAAGATTGCGGTGTCGTCAGCGAATGTTGCAAGAAAAGTATCGGGATGAACAGGGATGTCAGCAGTAAAGAGGATGTAAAGCACGGGACCCAAGACGCTGCCTTGGGGAACACCGGCTTTAACGGAGTAGATATTGGAAAATTCTGTTCCACAGCGAACTCGAAAGGAGCGGTCAGAGAGGTAGGATCGGAGGACTAGGTACAAGGACTGAGGTAAATGGATTTTAAGCTTGGAGAGCAGTCCGGAGTGCCATACCCGGTCAAATGCCTGTGCAATGTCCAGAAAGGCACCCGAACAGTATTCCTTGTTTTCTAGGGCTGAGGAAATATGATCAACAACTCGGAGTCCTTGTTGAACAGTAGAATGTTGAGAGCGAAAACCAAACTGATGGGAAGGGATATTTTGGGATTCTATAATGGGTAGGATTCGTTTCAAAAGGATCTTTTCAAAAATTTTTGAAAGGATTGGGAGTAGGCTGATTGGTCTATAGGATGTTGAGCTATTGAGAGGTTTTCCTGGTTTTGGGAAAAGGATAATAGTGGAGTGTTTCCATAACAGAGGGAAGTGGGTGGTGCGTAGGATACAATTGTAGATATATGTAAGGAATATGACTGCTTTGGATGGAAGTTGTCGAAGGATTTGAGATGTAAGGAGATCATGTCCAGGAGCTTTACGGGGGATTAGTTTTTTTAATTGAAATTTTACTTCGGAAGGATGAATAGCTTTTGGGGGCAAGGAAAGTGGGATTGGTGATGTAAGGAGTTCTTCTACTGTTACGGTGTGGGCAGGATGGGATTCCGGATGTGAAATAAATGTATTGGATAGGTGAATGGCGAACTCCTCAGCTTTATCTTCGTCAGATGCTGCCCAGGAGCCATCACCTCGTCGGAGGGGATGGGAAATGCGGTGAGGATTTAGGATTTTTGTTGTGGTTTTCCAAAGGGAATTGTCGCGAGAAGAGAGAGAGGATAGGTAGGAGTTGAAGGATTGCGATCTGAAGGTGGCTAATTCCAGTTTTAATTGTTTGCAGTAGTAATTATAGGAGCAGCGGTCGGTAGGATGTCGGGTACGTTGCCATAATAATCTGGCACGGCGTTTGGTGCGGATTAGGTTAAGGAGGTGTTGGGGTAGAATGGTCTTTATAGGAATTCTGGAGGAGTCTTTTGGGAAGGAGGCAGTCCAGGCGGCTTGTTGGATTGTGGTAGTAAAGGAATTTACGGCACTATCAAGGTCATCGGGAGTTTTGAGGGTTATGTTAAGATCAATTTTATCGGAGATGATTTGGCGGAAAAGGTCCCAGTTAACTGGACCCCTAATAAATGACGGTGGAGGTTTGGGAACGGGTTCAAGTGAAACATTAAGGATTAGAGGACTATGGTCAGAGGAAAGTTCATTTAGACGTGTAATGGAACAATTGAGGGGACTTAAGCCGCTGTGGATAAAGAAATCAAGAAGATCAGGATTACGGTTGGGATCTGTGGGCCAGTAGGTAGGAGAGTTGGGGGAAAGGAGGTGAAAACGTTGGGAATTGAGTGCAGACAGCAGGGTTCGGCCACGAGAATTCGTGGTTCTGGAACCCCATTGTTGTTGCTTGGCATTTAGGTCTGCACCCAAGATGAAGTGATGTCCTAAGGAGTTGAGGAGAGAACTGAATTGGGCATTGGATATGGATCGGTTAGGAGGGCAATACGCTGATGCAAGAGTAACCGGAAAGGAGAAGGTTTTTATCACGATAGAGGTGGACTGTAGGAAATCATGTATTGGTAATGGGAGTACGTGATGGGAGAGGGATTGGTGTACAATTACAGCAGTACCGGCATGTGCTTTTCCGTCAGGGTGGTCAGTACGATATGTCAGGTATTGTGGTATATTGAGGTGCTGTTTAGTGGTTAGTCGAGTTTCAGTAATTAGTGCCACATCAATGTTCTTGTCAAGTAGTAAAGTAGATAGTTCGTCTATATGATTTCTAACACCATTCGCATTCCAAAGGAGAATGGATATGGGTTTAGGGATGTGAGTCATTTAAGGATTTTTCAAAGGAGGGATGAGGTGAGATACGAGATTCGTGAGGAGTGATATGAGTGGAGTAACAAGGGATTTGAAATCGGTGAGGAAAGATGCTAACAAACTTGTGAGATCAGTTGCATTTGAAGGAGGAGGAATATGAGGAATTTGTTGTTGGTGGTTAGGTATATTAGAATGAAAAGGATTTTGAGGTTGGGGTTGAGGTTGTTGTTGTGGCAGGGCTTGACATTTATCGGTTAAAGTCTTACCTCTAAGTAGTTGGGAGAATGATACATCATTGTTTACAATTCTGGAAGGCTCTCTCTCTCTTCTTGTTCTTAGTGCTTCATCTTGAATCCGGTTTTTCTGGTGTCTGGTTTTGAGATTCTTGTAAATTTGGCAGCCTTTGTAGTTGGCCGGGTGTCCCTCCAAACATAGGGCACATACTGCTGGATCTTGTATAGGTTTGGTACACTCTACAGATTTGTGCTGTTCACCGCACTTCACGCAACGCGGCAAATGGTGGCAATATGACTTCGTGTGGCCATAGGTCTGACAATTATGGCACTGCACGATGTCTCTCTTGGGATATGGCTTCTCAACTTTCACCATTGTGTAGTATATTCTTGTGATATCATATATTTTTTCGATACCTGGTGATGGCTCCAAGTCCACGAAAAACAATGGTAGTGGGATCCTATTTCGTAATCCTGGCTGCTCCCTGTCCTCCTTCAAAACGTTTGTTACCTGGCGTACATTGAAACCAAGCGTCGTTAGTTCTTCTTTAATAACTTCAGTGGGGGTGGAGGAGTGTAAATTTCTTATCACTACTCGTAAAGCTCTTTCCTGCCTCAGCTGGTAAGTGTGAAAATTCGCATTTGTTTCTGATAAGTACTTCACTATTTTTCGGTAGGCTTCTGCAGAATCAGGTGTTATTTTGGTGTCATTGGTCCTGTTAAGGCATGAATAACTGCCAGAGCAGATTTTATTTAGTTGGGTGCAGAACATCTGGAAATTTTTTATATTTTTCACAAATATCGGAGGAGGCTTTGGTTCTCTGGGTATTGCTGCAGACTCCATTACTTCTCTGTCATTTTGAAGCACTTGGTAGGGGTTTGGAGTAAAGAAAGGTGATTCTTCAATCGTTTCTTGTGCAGACGTACCTGGTTGGGGCTGAGGTTCTGGTTCTGAAGTGTTCATTTTGGTCACTGGAGGTATATCTCGTAGGCAGCGACGAGTCCTTTGTTTGGCTGGTGAGCTAACTCCGTCTGACCGAGACCTCTTGGGCACCTTACTGGCCATCACTTGCTGATCATACCGCATATCATAAGAGAAAAAAAAAAAATAAAAAAAAAAAAAAAAAATTTTTTTTTTTTTTTTTTTTAAGATAACAAAAAAAAAAGATGCCAACAGTAAATATCAACTGCTCTGATATACACTTTAACTGTATCACGTGAATAATCAGAGAGATTCCGCTATAAAATTGGTAAAAACTGAGAGAGGAGTTGAGGAGACAACCTTCGCATCAGCTGATCCACTGCCTTCCATCCCTAAAGCTAATGCTGAAATTGGACTGAAATTCTTCAAAAGAATTTGAAAAGCTTCAACGGGCTAAAATCTTCTACCTTTTCAATGCAGATTGACGAATCTTGGATTTTATTTATGATCCAGAAATGAAGCGCCAATCCATGCACTGGAAATACCCACCTTAACCGAGGGCCAGAAAAGCTCGAATGAGCTATTCAAAATTCAAAGCAATGGTGTTTATTGATTTATTTTTTCTTATGATGGTGTGTATTGAAGCTGATAATAAGTAAATATGTACGAAATCAAATTAAAATGTTTTACAGCATTGGCCTCGTTATTTAATAGCCATACATGTTATTTGTATAAACAACTCTGGTATAAACGTCCTTACCGGACCATTTCGTCGTGTTCCCACTTTAATTTTTTGGGGTTATTATTCTAGTTTGCTCGCCATTAATTTTTAGCGTAAGTTGGAGCAGGGGTTTGACGAGCATAGACTGAATGTGAAGCCGCCAGCCTTTGTTGTTCCAGAGTCAGTCCTCTTTCGCCTTGGCAGGGAAGCTGCTGCTCGCAGACAACTAACATCAGTACTGAAACTATGGACATCGCCAAGTACAGGATAGTTCTTTTGGGTGAGTCTGGGGTTGGAAAAACTGCGCTTGTATCTCAGTTCATGACTTCAGAGTACATGAATACCTATGATGCTTCATTAGGTGAGTAGGTTTCATTAGTTTCTATTTATAATTTTATTTTGTTGTGAGATACACATAGTGTAAAGTAAAAGTAAATGTTTAAAGGTATGATAACAGATCTCAAGAGCTACAAAAAGTATATGTAAACAATGGTCTGAATTAACGCAGAACGGTAGACAACTTAGGATTTTTTAAAAGTAAGTCACGTTTCTCGTTGAATAAGAATCAATAGCTAAAATTATATTTAATTTAGGTTAAAAATAATTGTTTTGTAAACTAGTTAATTTTTTCATAATATTTCTTAAAAAAATAAACTCAAGAATTGTTTGGCATGAGGGTTCCAAGTAAGTCGTTTGTCCAGGTGGAGTCCTAGGTATCGGATTTGTTCAACTGTGATAAGTGGGGCATTGTTAAAGGATACTGTAGGACAGGAAGTCATAGGTTTACGACGAAGAGTAAAGGTAATTTGATGGGATTTATTGGAGTTTATTTTAATCCTCCAGTTTTGACAGGATTCAAGTGAGTTGTAGGTAAGAGTATGACCAGGAGGACAGTATACAGCTGAGAGTGTTAAATGGAAAGGACGGGTTGAAATGATTACTGAAGTTGCTTGAATAGCCTCAGTTGGAGTAGAAGGAATGAGAGAATGGGATAAGGATGCAAGAACCGGTATGGGAAGTGTTGTCGGGGTGGTCTCAATTCAGATAAAATTCCCGATATCCTATCAGCCTTTAATTCTTACCTCCACGCCTCAATTTTACAGTAGAACGCGAATTAAATAACTCTCTCTTTTTTCCGATCATCTCATAACGAATCCTAACTACACCATATCCACAGACTGGTACTAATGGTATTAATGTTGCTAAAAATCTCATCCACCGAAATCTCTCCCTCTCCGATCCCCAATTTCATGTAACGTGTAAAACAGATCCTTTCAAATAATCAATTTTCTTTCCATGTCATATTTCAAGCTGAACTCTGTCATTTGATTCAGGACCTGGATCTGCCCAAAGAGAATGCTTTTTGGTTCAAGATTGAAGCAATAGAACTCTTAAAATCTGGTGTAAAGATTACAATGTACAGAAATTATCAGAAAGACTTGATCGCCTTTTTCAAAAGTATGAGAACCTTGTTGCCTGTTGTAATGTCTCAGGTCTCATGAAAGCATTAAATCTCAATCACAACCCTTCTGAATGGAGGCTGTTCATAAATTCGTCAAAGCTATCCCTCAAGGCAGTTATGTTGCACAATGACAATTTACTTCCCTCTATCCCTATTGGCCATGCTGTCCACATGAAGGAAACTTACCAAAACATGGAAACCCTTCTAAAATCCATCAAATACCAGGACTACCAATGGCAAATCTGTGGAGACCTGAAAGTGGTGGCAATTCTTCTAGCCATGCAACAGGGATATACTAAGTACTATTGTTTCTTATGTGAGTGAGACAGTCGGGGCAGAGCATCTCAAAAGAGAAGTCCTGACCCCTGGACAAACAAATGTTCTCTACAACTCTCTTGTCGGCCCTAAAAAATCATTTTACCTTTACTACGTATAAAGTTTGGAATTTTTTTTTCAAAGGAATGGACCAATCAGGAGAGGCATTCAAGTACTCTGGAACGAAGATGTGAAGGTCGGTGGGATACTTCAATGCTCGCAGACTACTTTTGGAACGTTGTGAGGGATTTGCCAGAACATCAGTATAATTGTCAAGCAAAGAAGAAATATTATAGATAAACTGTACAACAGCGCTGTTCTTGCCGAGAGAAGTTGTAATCTAATGTTTTGTGGGTTGTAAAAGTATTTCACAAATAATAAAGCATTTTTAAAGCCTAAAGAATTATCGTGTAACTTCCAATAACATTTAAAAAAAAAAAATTATTTTATGGAAATTTACAACTGTAAACATATATACAACCAGTAAATGTGCTGTTGGAATACATTACATAAAGGTGCTTGTGAAGAAGCTATCCATTGGTAACACTTCAAAGATAAATTAATTTAGGAGGTCCCATGGACATTTTCTTTTCAGACGCCTCGGGGGATTGTCAGGAATTGTATTGGATGAAAGGTTACAAACTAGAGGATTGGGGTGACCAAACAGTTTGAAATGAAAACAGGTATATCTAGTTCGGAACAAGTCTTCCACAAGAGGAATGTTGACGTCTTTATGGATAATTTTATTTCTTACATAGTAAGGAGCATTTAGGATTTTACGGAGGATTTTGGAATGTAAGGATTGGATAAGGGAAGAATTTGATGTTTTTGTAGAGTCCCAAAGCTCAATACCGTATGTCCAAATGGGCCTGATGATGGTAGTGTAAATGAGTTTTTTGTAGAATATTGGAAATTTAGAGCGTTTGTCAGGTAAGTGTTGTAGTAGTCGGAATCTGTTGGCAGTTTCTTGTCTTTTAAGTCTAGTATGAGGATCCTAGGTAAGGCGTTTGTCAAGAAGGGGTGGTTCATTATTGACAGAAAACACACACGTGTCATCAGCATAGGTAGTGAGGACGGTTGAAGGATAGGTAGGGATATCAGCTGTATATACTGTGTAAAGGATAGGACCTAAGATGCTCCCTTGAGAAACACCAGCGGACTGGGAAAAGGGAGGTGAATAAGCAGAGTTTCAATTTACTTTAAAGATTCTATCTGTGAGGTAAGAGAGGATTAATAGGAAATATGTAGGAGGCAGAAATTGACGGAGGTTGTACAGTAAACCTGCATGCCAGACTCGATCAAAAGCCTATTCCACATCGAGAAAAGCTGCCGTGAAGTACATTCCGCGCTCCAGTGTTGAGGAAATTACATCCACCATGCGATGGCACTGCTGTATAGTGGAATGAGATGATCGAAATCTAAACTGATGGTCATGAATCAAGTGATTTGTGTCTAGGATTGGGTAAAGGCGTTTTAATATAAGTTTTTTCTAGTATTTTTTCTATGATGGGAAGTGGGGAGATAGGACGGTAAGAGGATGGGTATTCAGGTGGCTTTTTGGGTTTTAGAATCATTTTTATTATGGAGAATTTCCAAGGATCGACGTGTTGTTATTAACGGTTGTTTGTACAGTTGTTATGAATTCTTTAATAGCTGAATCAATCTGAGTATTAGTTTTCAACGAAATATTTAAATCCAGACTATTTTCTAGGTCATGCCGAAAGTTGTCCCAGTTTACTTGTCCTGTAATCAGTGATGTAGGAGAGGATTTAGGAACAGGATTTGAATGCATGAGAAGCACAACTGGGGAGTGGTCTGATAAAAGGTCGTTTACGGATTTGATAATGTACTAAAATGAAGGTATTTGGGAAGTAACGAATATATCAAGGATGTGGGGACGTTTCTTATGAGATGTAGGCCAGTAAGTAGGGTTCTTGGGAGGCAGAATGGAATAACTATTGGAGGATGTGACACGGGAAAGTATCCCGCCACGAGTATTGGATGTTCGGCATCCCCACCGTTGTTCTTTGGCGTTGTAATCTCCCCCAGCAATGAAGCGCGGAGCAAGGGATCGGAATAAGGAATCAAGTTCAATAATGGAAAGGGAGTTACCAGGCGGGCAGTACACAGCTGGTAATGTTATATTCACTGGACGAGAGGATAATATAATAGAGGTTGATTGGATATTGTCTGTTGGAGTGGAAGGAGTCAGGGAATGAGGTATGGATTTATGAATAAGGATACAAGAACCTGCATGGGATGTATCCTGTGGTACATGGGTGATCTGATCTGTATGTGATATGTAAAAGCGTGTATGTGTTGTAAAATGGGTTTCAGTCACTAAGGCTACGTCTATAAGATTTTTTTGAAGAAAAATGTCGTTTGTCTCGATAATTCTGTAAACAATTTGCATTCCACAACTGGGATAACTGGGGTCTTACTGCTCATCGTGAGGTATTAAACGGGATTTCTGAAAGGAGTCGGGTAAGGAGTGTGATGAGAGGTTTGATGGTATCATTGAAGATCATAGAGGAAGGATGTAAGAACTAATACTATGTCGGTTGGATTATGGTTGGGATAGGAATAGAAATTGTCCTGTGGTGGAAGAACCTGCCTAGGTCGGGGTAGGACTCTCTTTTGGGATCTTTGAGTATGTTCCACATGTAGTGGAGTTTCGGATGAATGAATGATCTGCGAGGAAGATTGGGATGAGTCAGGATGTTTGGGATTGATCTGTGGACAATCTGTGGACAATAACTTGACCCTTAAGATTGAATTTTTGGAGGATGGGTAATTTTTTTGTGATGACACCGCAATCCTATCATCCAACTCAGATCCTAAAATTGCATCCTTAAATCTACAAAGGCACCTACCTTTCACTGATAAAGCACTGGTATGATGAATGGCGCATTAAAGTGAATGAGTCGAAATGCAAACATATTACCTTTTCTCTTCGAAACGATTCCTGTCCACCAGTACACTTTAATTCCATCCAGCTTCCTTTCTCAGACCCAGTCCGGTATCTTGGCTTTCTCTTAGACCGAAGACTGACATGGAACCCACATACTAGACTCAAAAGACAAGAACTTAACCGACAATATGGCCAGCTATATAGACTACTGAACAGAAAATCTCAACTTTCAATTGACAACCAACTAATGATCGACAAGACAATAGTGAAACCTATTTGAACCTACGAACTGAAACTGTGAGGGACAGCAAAATGTTCTAACATCAAACGCATTCAGTCCTTTCAGTCCAAAGTCCTTCGAACAATAGTTGGTGCTCCGTTCTATGTAACCAACCAAATCCTACACCATGACCTTAATATCTCATTTGTCCTTTACCATATCCCTCAAAAATTTTCCAAATTCCATCAAAACCTTACATATCACCCAAATCTTATTTTACAATCCCTCTCTAGCTCTACTCATCCCTACAATATTCCTCGAAGGTTGAAGCGGCTGTGGCCCAAAGACCTATTGTAAGAATATATTAGAGTTATGGTAATGGAAAGATTCTCCACTCAAGCCATGTATGTCTGGTTATAGTGTCCCTGCTCAGCCTCCATTGGTAATACCAGTGATGCGCCTGAGTGAAAGACGCTGAGATCTCCTAGAATCCTGCCTTTCACTCCACGAGTGTGGGGAAAGACTAGGCTTGGAGATCTTGAGCGAATGAATATTGTATAAAATCATGTGTGTATTTACGTATTTATTTTGTTAGTTTATTAGTTGATTAGTTTATTTTTGCTTACTTTTGGATTATTTAGTTCATATACATTTACTTTTAGTATTATTATATTGCTGTTTATTTATTTTTATTTATTGTGCATATTATGAATGAGCTACTCTTTATCACTATTACTATTGTCCTTAAAATGTGATAGATTGTAATATATCTCAATAAAGAAATTTCATAAAAACAAAATATGAGGGATGCCCAGAAGGGGGTTTCATGGCACATGTTGTATCAAGGCTTTTGTGGGGAGCACATTTTCACGTGCTTTCGAATTTTTGACGGGGACACATTTCGACGGAGTAATGAATTTTCGAAACTTTTAACCAGGGGACAATAGGAAAGCATAGAACAGTACACTTAAAGCATAAATATAAATGAGCTATGAATTTTAAAATTCTACTTTAGTTTGCACTGTTTTTAAGAATAGAAGAGTAAGAAAATATCTTGGGAGGAGGGAGAGGAAAGTTTTTGCACCATCGACCTTGGGAAAGATGGGCACTCCTGCAAGATGCCTTAGGATTTCTCGTTTTTTTTTTTCTTTTACAGCAGCATAATAACGTATTAGGAAGTGAAAAATACGAAACTAACAATATGGAATTGCCTGTAATAATTATTTTTAACTTATTTAAACTTTTGTTGTCTACACTTTCGATTTTATTCATTTACCTTCCAGAGAAGCTAGCATAATAGAAAATAAATAGTTTCAAAATTTAAATAGTAATACCTTTTTTTATTGTGGAGACCACAACGGACTCATCTGTATCAAGCACTGCTAGAAAGTCAATAAATTGTTGATAAAATAATAAACTCTTCAATTAGTTCTTCCAGGGTCAAGATATATTAGCTGCCATGCAAATATTAACTAATCTTAACTTGAAAATGAGAAATTATGACAATTATAAACGCTATTTTTTTCGCTGAATAGGGGATTCGCTGACCACTCTGTGAATTAAGCTTAATCACCTTTCTTGAAAATTAAACCCTTACGCTCTTTAATTGTTGCCCATGAATGAGATAGATTGTAATTTATGTAAAAAAAAGATATATTAAAGTGAAAATACAACAAATAAATAGACTTACAAATTACAATTGGATTAGCTTATTTAATAAGCTTCAAGTGATGATGTAACAACTATAGTAACAAAACATACATTTTATTTAGTATTCATCATAGTTTCTGATGCTTTTAATCATTTCAACATGATTGGATTCATGTTATAGAAAATAATATGCATCTTTCATATATTAAAGTTTGTGTTTTATAGGTGAATGTAGTGATTTTTTAATACTAAATTACAGACGACGAATTTGGTGAAAAAACTGTCTCCATCTTATTAGACGGCGAGGAATCCGAAATGGTCTTCATCGACCATCCCAGCTCAGAAATGTCGGTGAGTTAACTTCTCGATTTAGTTTTAATATATAATATATTGTCAATTATCTAATATTAAATTATTATTCCAAGGTGGAAAACTCGTTGTCAACATACGAACCGCACGCTGCAGTGGTTGTCTACTCAGTCGTTGACCGAGCTACCTTTAAGGCTGCTGAGGAAATACTCAACTACTTGTGGAGGGAGAGCTACACCCAAGAGAAGACAGTTATCCTCGTTGGGAATAAAGTAGATTTAGCCAGAGCAAGAGTTATCACCAATACTGGTCAGTCACACTTAATTTTTTTTTAAATATTTCACATTACCTGGAATAAAATATATATCCAATATCTCTTTTTCACGCTTTTTCCCGTATCTCTCTTTATCGCCGTGACTTTTTCACCTTAAGCAGTCTGAATTAACTCCATCATCCTTAAATATATGATGGTACCAAGGGCTATAGGATTCACGCTGTCCTATAGACGAGGGTCTGGTAGAGTCTTGGTGGTCATGGTCGGTAACCACCTTGTTGATAAACGTAATTCTTCGGTAACATCATGGAAAAGCATTGGTCTTGGATAGGGACACCGTTCACCAGAGCTAGGGAAGTAAACGTGCATTCAGAACACGTTTCTGGTAGTCTGACAATACACCTTCATAGCTGTAGCTATTTCTAAAATGCTATGCCGCTGTTAGATGATGGACTTGCCGCGTGAAAGACATGATGTCTTTTCCAGAAGTTGTGCCCCTTTAAAAGCCCAAGACTCCCTGTCTGGTGAAACCATCGGGGATTCCAGGGAGAACAACTTCCTTAAGTTGAGGCCTTTAACCATGGTGTCAACCAACCAGTTGGTTTTTGGACTAGAAACTTTTCGAGCCACCGGCAACAGACGCTGACACCTAAGTTTATGCGAGAAGTCGACGTGACGGGGAGGTGACTATTAGAGCCACAGGTTGTCTAGGCAGAACTTGGATTATAATATCTCAGCTCGCTCGGCATGTCGACTAGCCAATGCATGTAGAAATAGAAATAGAAATAGAAAAATCATCTTTATTGTGGGACTAGGTCCCTTTAGAATAACAGTATTGTTCATATAAATTAACCATAAATCTGGCCAAAAGACTTATTACAATGAATAATAACAAAATACTAGTAATAAATTAAGTATTAATTAAGCTCTTAGGATAAATTAACGAGAACAGTTGGGTAATAGGGGTTCAGTACTACAATATCGGAGCTAAAACAATAGCATAATAATCACTGAATGAAATTAGAAAGGAACGCAAAATCAATTTTATAGGCAAAGCATTGTAGTGATGGAATATAAAAATTAAAACAATAATAATAACTGTTAATATGTAAGCAAAGGAATTGTAAAAAAAAAAAAAAAAAGCCTTATAACATAGTATGGATTTAACCAGCGTCTGATTGGATTGTGAAGAGGAATTGGAATAAGAGGGTTTTAAAGGTGGATAAGGATGATGCATGGCGGATTTTTAGTGGGATGGAATTCCAGAATGCAGTGGAACGGACAACGAAGGAATGTTTAAATGATGCAGATCTGTGAGAAGGGGTGTAAAGGTCAGAAGGACGAGATCTTGTGGATAGGGTGTGGATAGATGATTTTTTATTTATTTTATTTTATGCAATTTGCACCTGCGCAGTTGCGCATCTAGCAAATTTGTTGTATTTTTATTGTCTTGGTGTAATTGCTTGATTTTTTTTTTTTTTTTATTGATGTAGTAGGTCTCTTGGCCATTTTCTTCTTAATCTTCGTTGCTCAGGTAACAGGGAGCAGGAGATAGAAAGAACCAGAGGATTGGAGTGATTTTGGGTTGAAGAATGATATGTAGTGTATTTGTCGTGGATGTAGGATTTTACTGTTGGGGTGTTTAAGTCGTTATGTATAGTAGTGTTTGAAATGTACCAAGGTGCGTTAACAATTTTTCGTAAAATTTTTGATTGTGCTGTTTGTATTTTGTTTATGTGTGTTTGTTTTGCTGAACCCCAAAGTTCTGCTCCATATGTCCATATTGGTCTCAGTAAGGTGTTGTAGATAAGTCGCTTGTTTCGTAAGTTAAGTGAAGATCTGTAGTCCAGAAGATGTGAAAGTTGGCTATATCGTCTGGTAAGTTCTTGTCTTTTTAATTTCGTATGTATGTTCCAAGTAAGTCTTTTGTCTAAGTAGAGTCCAAGGTACCGTACATAGTTCTTTGAAGGCACTGGATTATTGGCAATCGTTATGGGTGGACATGAGGCTTTCCTAAGAGAGAAACTAATGTGGGTGGATTTTGTACTATTAATTTTGATTCTCCAGTTTTCAAACCACTTTTCGAGATCATGAAGATGGTTTTGTAGGGCAATTGATGCGATAGTAGGATTTTTGTGTGAAGATAGAATAGCAGTGTCGTCAGCGAAGCAATAAATGGTGGTATTAGGGTGCTCAGGGATATCAGAAGTGTAAATAGAATAGAGGATTGGGCTTAAGACGTATTGGGCTTGTGGTACGCCTTTGTGTTGGGGAAAGAAGGAATATACAGAAGAGTCTACGGAAGTACAGAAAAATCTATTAAGAAAGTAGGATTGAAGAATTAAAAAATAAGTGGAAGGTAAGTGCGATTTTAGTTTCCATAATAGGCCCTTGTGCCAGACACTATCAAATGCTTTCTCTATGTTGAGAAAGACGGCAGAGCAATATTCCTTTTTTTCAAAAGTCACAGAGATAGCATTTACTATCCGATGGCACTGTTGCACAGTAGAGTGATAACAGCGAAAGCCAAACTGGTGATTTGGTATCACTTCACTATATTCTAGAATAGGCTTTAGTCGGTTTAGTAATAGTTTTTCAAATAGTTTGCCCATTATTGGAAGAAGTGCTATAGGACGATAGGATGAAGGAGAAGTGGTAGGTTTTGAAGGTTTGGCAATCATTTTGATTGTGGAGAGTTTCCAAAGGAGAGGAAAATAGGTAGTGCGTAAAATGGAGTTATAGATGTGTGTAAGAAACAAAACAGCTTTTCGAGGTAGGTGTCGAAGAATGAAGGGAGTGATTAGATCATAGCCAGGAGCTTTTTTGTTTGGTAGTCTGTTGATTTCTTTGTAAATTTCTTTTGGATGAAATGCCGGTGGGGGTAGTGATAAGGGTAGTGGTGTTGTCAATTCTACTTCTATTGCGTCAGTAAAATTATTGTCCTGTATTCTGTTTGTCCCAAATACTTGTGCAAGATATTTAGCGAATTCATTGGCTTTTTCTTCGCTTGTTATTGCCCAAGTGTTGTCTGTACGTCGGAGAGGGTATTGAAGGTCTTTTTTCTTTAGTATACGTCTTGTTGTTGTCCATATTGATCCATTTCTATTGTTTATTGTGTCTATGTAGTCTTTATAGCTGTCATTTTTAAATTTTAATAGTTTTTCGTGAAGTTTTCTAGTTAGTTTGTTGAGTTCTGTTTTGTACGATGGATATCTAGTTCTTTGCCATAGGGCTCTAATCCTACGTTTTTCTTTTATAAGATTATGTATTGGCTGAGGTAGGTAAGAAGCAGGTTTAGTGTATGTCTTTGGTGGTCTCGTTGAATGCCAAATAGCCTCTTGTATACTTTTTGTTAGGTCGTTGACTGCATTGTCGAGGTCGTCAGCTGTACTAATTAAAGTGTTTAACGTAATTTTGTTGTTCAAAAAATGTTTAAAGTCGTCCCAGTTTATGTAACCGTTAATTAATGTCGGGGGTTTGGGTTTAACGAAAGGGTTGTTCGAAAGTTCAAGTAAAATTGGGCTATGATCAGATGAAAGGTCAAGGAGAGAGGAAACGTTGGAATGTGCATGTGGTAAGGAGCTTGTGACAAAGAAATCAAGAAGATTGGGAGACTTTGATAGTGAAGTAGGCCAGTAAGTAGGTTGAGATGGCGAAATTACAGAAAATTTCAAATCTTCGATACATTTTTGTAGTCTTTTTCTACGAGTATTGGACACTCTAGATCCCCACCTTGTGTTTTTTGAGTTAAAATCTCCTCCTACAATGAATGATTTTCCCATTGTCGAGAAAATAGCCTTTAATTCATTCGTGGATATAACTTTATTGGGAGCTATATAGACTGAGGCAATCGTGAGTTGGAATTTTGAGGAGTTTAGAGAAATATTGGTGTATTGTAGGGAATTCGTAGAAGCAGCAGGAAGAATATGGTGATTTAAGGACTTGTCCACAATAATTGCAGTTCCTCCATGTGCTGTGTGGTCTGGACGGTCAGTTCTGTAAGTTTCGTAATCTTGTAGCTTAAATGTTTGTTTGTCTGTTAAATGAGTTTCAGTAATCAGAGCTATGTTTATGTCATGTTCTTTTAAACATATTTCCATTTTTTCGTTGGAGCAGACCATTGGAGTTCCATAGGAGTATTTTTAGAGAAGGTGATTTCGAATTAGTCATTGGAAGGATTAGAAATGAAAGTAGAAACTAGTTTAGTTAGAAGTTCTAAAATAGGGGATAAAAGGAATTTAAGTTCAGTTAGTGTCGCCCATGAGTCCTACTTATTGGACAACATCCCTCAAAAAACGTCCCGATATCCTGGATATATTTATCACCTCCCTGATTTCCTCCTCCCAAACTATAATCAAATCCCTGGATGACCTTTCTTCAGACCATAGTCCGGTTCTGCTTTCATTACATTTCATTACATTACTTTGCTCCTAAACCATCACCTCCCAAACTGATCACTGGACGAGTAAACTGGGACAAATTTCGTGATGATTTGGAAAACAAACTTGACCTCAAAATTCCGCTAAAGACAAAAGAAGACATTAATGGTGCCATAGAAAAACTGACATCATCAATAACAGACAGTATAAATAATAATACCTTTATCAATAAGATTAACAACCCACAAAATACTAACTTGCCACAGCATATTCCCATCTTATTAAAGGAAAAACGCAGAGGAAGATCGAAGTGGCATCGAACTAGATACCCGACATATAAAGCGCATTACACCCAACTGACTAACAAACTGAAATCAGAAATAAGAAAATACAAAATTCAAAATTTACTAAATTTTACTGAAAAACTTACACCTACCGATAAATCACTATGGACGGCCACTAAAAGGCTCCTGAAATTTAAAGACTGCAACCATCCACTACTCACTGAAGCCCAAACCTGGTCCAAATCCGACGAAGAAAAATCCCAAATATTTGCCCACCACCTCTTTAAAACCTTTAATCCACATCCCGATATTCTTAACCCAAATCACCTTGAATGTATTGAAGCTGAACTGGATATCCCACTCCAAATGACT